CCCATCCCGCACGACTGTTTTCAAATCCTAGCCCAGGTACATGGGACACGTGAAGATCTCCAAGACACCCCGCTCCCGAACCCAGACCTTACCTGATACACGGACGGAAGCAGCTTTCTCCATAAAGGATAAATTAAGGCCTTCCCTACTCGGACTGAAACTACATCGGTAGTGACTAAAACAATCCTAAAAAACATTTTTCCTCAATTTAAGCTACCCAAGGTAATAGGGTCAGACAACGGACCGGCTTTCATTTCCCAGGTAAGTCAGGGATTAGCCAAGATATTGGAGATTAATTAAAAACTTCATTGTGCATATCGTCCCCAAAGTTCAGGACAGGTAGAGAAGGCCAATAAAACCATCAAGAAACCCTAACTAAATTAGCCTTGCAGTCTAGCGCTAAAGACTGGACCAAGCTCCTCCCCTTAGTCCTCTTCAGAATAAGAAATACCCCCTCTCGCTTTAACCTTACCCCCTATAAAATCATGTACGGAGGACCACCGCCCCTTGTCAATATACAAACCACCTCTATACCTATCTCAGCTAAAGCTGATGTCCGTGCCCGTCTCTTAAGTCTACAGGCTGTGCAAGCCCAGGTGTGAACATCCCTAACTGAAACATACAAGCCGGGACATCCGGAGACCAGACACCCTTTCCAGATCAGAGACTCAGTCCTTGTGCGGAGACACCGAGCACAAGGACTGGAACCCCGGTGAAAAGGACCCTTCACCGTCATCCTCACCACTCCCACCGCACTCAAAGTGAACGGCATACCAGCCTGGATACACACCTCCCACGAATGCTGTGTTCTTGTCTGCGTTTTCCCCCGAGTTTATTACCACTCCTCTTATGAGTTTGAGCGATCCACCTTGTCTGTCTCCCCCCGGTTTAAGCGTGAACCAGTGTCCCTCACTCTAGCAGTACTCGCCACCCTTAGAATAGCCGCCGGGGTGGGAACCAGAGCTGCGTCTCTTATCCAGAAACAACAACAGTATGCCCAACTTAACCAAGCCATTAGACACCTAACTAACTCCCTAACATCTCTATCAGAAGTAGTTTTGCAGAGCAGACACGGACTGGACCTCCTCTTCCTAGAGGAGGGAGGTCTGTGCGCTACCTTAAAGGAACAGTACAGGAAAAAAGTTAACATCGGAACAGGGATTTTTCAAAGCCTAGTTCAAAAAGTCCCCCTGGCTCACCACCCTCATATCTTCTATGACTGGACCCCTTGTGGCTCTTCTCCTCCTCACTTTCAGCCCCTGCATCCTGAGCCGCCTATTAACCTTTATTCGTGAAGAACTCAGCATCACCCATGCTCTCATCCTTGCCCAACAATATGAATAAGAGCCACAGCACTGGTCTTAAGATTAAGACTAGTACATAACTCAAGGGGGGAATGTTAGGCCACAGGGCAGTAAGGAGGCCCTAAAAAAAAAAAAAAAA